CCTTCCTTTCTTTTCTTTTTTTTTTTTTTTGGTTTTTGAGACAGAGTTTCTCAGTGTAGCCTTGGCTGTCCTGGAACTCGCTCAGTAGACCAGGCTGGCCTCGAACTCACAGAGATCCGCCTGGCTCTGCCTCCGGAGCACTGGGATTAAAGCAAGCCATGTACCACCACTGCCTGGTGGGAATGGTTTTCTTTATTTGCTTTTATTTCAAGCCTCCTCAATAATAAATTTTATTTGAAAGAAAAATCATTTTTAAGCACTTTTACTGATACATAATATACATAATAAGCCCATGCAAAAATAAACAGGGACTAAGATAAAGAAGACTCAGTTAGTAGACTTAAGTATTTTAGGGTAAATTGTGGTCTTGTCTGTTGAAAACTGCATGGTTAGACTGACATGGTGAGTTCCTGCCTTGTTTTATGGCTGGCTCAAGCTCTTAACTAGGAGGGGACACACTCCCTTCTGCTGTCCTTTGTAGATAGTTTCTGCCCACATTCTTTGCATGGTATTACCTGGGAGGATCTTTGAAGGAATCCTTTTAAGCCCTTTATTCATGATGAAGGTTTGGATTATATAATCTACTTCTACATAATTGAGGCAGATGACGGCAGCACACCCCACTCTCTGCACTTAAGAAGCCACTGCAATTTTTTTTTTAAAATAACAATAAAAAAGACATACCTGTAATCTCAACATTTGGAAGGCCAAATTAAAAAAAAGAGAGAGAAAGAAAGATCAATACTCCCTGATATGAAAATTTACGGTAGTACTGTAGTAACTATAAGGCAGGATGATGGACTGGGGAGATGGATTCGTCTGTAAAGTACTTGCCACGTGTCTGCCTTAGTTTTAACTGTCAACCTGACACAACTACCTAAAAATCACCTGAGAAGGTAGTCTTTCCTCCATGGAGGGATTACCTACATGAGATTAAATCATGGCCATATCTGTAGGGGGCTGCTGGTTGTTAATTGACTCAAACCATGGAGGGTGACACCATTCCCTAGGCAGGGGCCCTGTGTGAAAATAGAGAAAACTGAGAAGAAACAGGCAAGAAAGGATGCATTTATTCTCTTGGCTCTTGGCTGGATGTGATGTGTGACTCTTTGAGGTTCTTCCTTGACTGCTCTGGAGTGATGGGCTGTAACCTGGGACTTTGAGCCATATTAACCCTTTCTCTTTCCTAAAAGAAAAGAAAGGAAGGAAGGAAGAAAGGAAGAAAGAAAAAGAGAAGCCACTGGAAACCCATTTTGTGGTCATCTCTTTTCAGATGAGACCTTATGTGCCCAGAGCATCTGCTGACATAGGACGGACTACCTGAGTCTGTTAGTGCCGATGGTTATATTTGATATCAGTGTCCAATTTTTGATTTTTTGATAGTAAAACAAATGCAAGAGGGAATTTCTAATAGAGTTCTGATATTTCATGCTTTGGGCACCATTATGATGGACTCAGAGGTCATTCTGCTTCCTGCCATTTCTCTAACTTGAAGTTCTCTGGCAAAGTGAACAAGACCTTTAGTTATGTTGGATATGATTTCTGTATCTTGTCATTTTCTGTTTTTACATGGTGTTATCATTATTCTCCATTGACAAATTATTCACATAATTTCTCACTTGAACTCTTCATCTTTTGATCTCAAAGGCAGGTCTGTCTGATTCTATTCTAAAGACCAAGTTGGAGATGAGCTGTCATTGGTGTTGACCGAGTCCATACAGTCGGTAAGTAGAAAATCTGAGTTAAAAATTTTGAAAATAATTTCATGCTGTTTTGTTAATCATTTTTAATAATAACAGCTGAACTGAAGGAAGAAATAGCAATAAAACTGTAAAGAAGTGGTGATTCCCAGAGACGCGAGGAGTGAATGAAAAGAAAGCACGTATGTTCAACTATATAAGAGTGTGAGGTCAATGGTGTGCTCCTTGCCAAGCATGCCTGAGGCTCTGGGTTCAATCCCCAGAACAAAGCCAAAACAACACACAATCAAACTGTGAAGGGAGGGAATTCATACTTACTGAGCATACATCATATCCTACACATTATCCTTTTAATACAGTTCTTGATATGGAGGAGTAGATTTCACATCTAAGGAAACTGAGCTTCAGAGTTAAGTAACTTGCCCAAATACATTGTGGAGTTTAAAATAAAGGGAGCTAACATTAAAAATGAATGTCTAGCCGGGCGGTGGTGGCACATGCCTTTAATCCCAGCACCCTGGAGGCAGAGACAGGCGGATCTCTGTGAGTTCTAGGCCAGTCTGGACTACCAAGTGAGTTCCAGGAAAGGCACAAAGCTACACAGAGAAACCCAGTCTCAAAAACAAACAAACAAAAAATGTCTAAGTACTGTTAACATAACACCAAAAATTGAATATTAAACTCCTCTTGCCAGTTTTTGCCTCAAATTTGATCTCTGGATTTGGCTGAAAATTAACCACAACAAACTAGAATACTAGCAAATATGAAAATGTAGATTGCTTATAAAATGCAAGTGGGGATATAAAGCTATGATACCCTCTGGAAGATTTTAGTTTGGTTTTTTTTTTTTTTTAAAACTAAACATAGACTACCATAGAATTCACATTGTGCTTCTGAGCATTTATCCCAGATAAATAAGTACTTCAAGTTCACACAGAATGTTTATAACAGCTTTATTCGCAATAGCCAACAACTAGAAACAACCCAGATGCCCTTCACTGGGTAAATAAACTATCAGCCAGTCTACTAACATTTAAGTAACCACTATCAGCCATGATGGAGCCATACCAATACTACTTGACAATTAGAGCTAGAAAATCATTGATATGTGCAAAACTTGAAGGAATCTTTAGAGAACTAGACTGGGTGGGAAAAAAAAATGTCAACCCCTAAAGGTTCCACTTAAGGTTCTTGCTTTTTTCTCCATTTCCATCTGAGTGTGGTGTGACTGTGGAAGTTAATAATGTACGTTTTGCAAGTATATTGTTGTGCAGTTGCATGGGGGAGGTCCACGGTTGATGCCTGGAATCATCCTTGGTTGTTCTTCTACTGTGTTCCTGGTGTCAGGGTCTCTCAGTCAAACTCAGAGCTCTTGGAGGTGACTAGTGTTGCTAGCCAGTTTGGTGTAGGGATCCTTTAGGGAGGGTCTGGGGACCTGACTCCAGGCCTCATGCTCTAACCACTGTGCCGTCTCCCTGCACATACGTTATGTAATAATATTGCAATAACAAAATCTGAGAAATGAGTGAAAGATTAGCGGCCACCAAGAGTCCAAGAACAGGAGGTGAAAGGGAAGTGGGTGTGGTCGCAAAAGAACAGCAGAAGGATCCTTGTCACAAAAAAAACAGTTTGTACTTAACTGTGTAAGTGCCAGGACCCTAGCGGTGAGATCCTGAGTCAGCACTGGAGAAACTGAATAAGGGAGAAGAGGATCTCTATTTATTTTTTTTGCCACTGCACAAGAATTTAAAATTACCACAAAAAGCCTAATAAAATGTCGATAGATATTCTAAGAGGTCAATTCCATGTTTTCTAGGACTGAACTCAGACTAGGGGAAAGATGGGATTGTGAATAAATCCTAAAGAGCCTTAGATCATTTCTCGAACTCAGCTGATTTTATTTATCTCTGATTTTTATTACGGGTTGTCGTGCTACTCAGGGAAAGACAAGATGCTAACCTCTCATCACAGGACTTCTGCTTTGCATAGAACTTTAAGATTGAGCAGCAGATTGAACTATATGTTAGAAGATGAAATGAGATTGTCTTAGACCCTACTGCCATAATCTATTTCTAAAGTTTTTTTTGTTAGTCTCATCTCTTTCTGACTTATTAAATTTCCTTCTTTTATTCTATTTTGAATCTGTATTTCCATGTTGTACTGATTCAGTGGGAGAGAGTCCTTGTTGCCAAGTCTGATGACGCCGGAACCTGCATGATACAAAGAGAGCTGACTCCAGAAAGTTGCCCTCAGATCTTCACATATCACTGTGGTATGTGTTGCAGGCACCTATCCAGTCCTGCACACAATGTATTAAAACTATTTAAAAAAATACAACAACCTTGTAAGTGTTTTTTTCTTTTTCTTGTTTTGAAACAGTGTCTCACCCACTCACTCTGTATCTCAGGCTGGCCGGGAACTTGCCAGCCTCCTGCCTCAGCCTCCTGATGTTGGTGTTACAGAAGTGGGCCAGGGTGAGCTAGAATCAGTGTTTCTTGCTGCTGATTAAATTAGCAAAATGATAGCACTGCTCAAATGTGAAACAGAAGCATATGCTGAGTTCTGACGAATTCGCGTGTTCTGATTTTCCGGAAGGAGGAGTGGGAGGCTCCGTTGAAGACTTCGTTGATGGTGTGTGGAGGGGATAAAGCCCAACAGTAGGACCAAAGGGTGGGCTCCTCTCCTAGGCTACTGCGGTGCCCTGGAGCCCTCTGCAGACACCTACCAGTGCAGGGGAGAGTCAGTCCCCGCAGGGGAGCTGCTGCCTTAACAAGTAGGGGTTAAAGTGTGAGAATTTCGGGACCTACTTTGGGGAAGGGTTAAATAAATCAGAGGGCCTGCTGACAGCAATAGTATCTTTGAGCAGCTGATTTGAAACAGAATCAGAGAACTGAGATGAATCCCAGGTGGCCATTGGGAGCTGGAAAAAGTCCTGACGACTTGGGTGACTGTTAAGCTTCCTTTTAGCACTGGGAATAGTCTTTAAGTGATAGCTTATTAGAAAAGACTATATTCAACACAATGGTAGAATAAAGATATATTGATTTAGAGGGTCTTTCTTTTATTTTTCTTTCCTTCCTTCCTTCCTTCCTTCCTTCCTTCCTTCCTTCCTTCCTTCCTTCCTTTCTTTTTTTTTTGTTTTTTGTTTTTGAGACAGGATCTCTGTACAGAGCCTTGCTTGTCCTGAAACTTACCATGTAATCTAGGCTGGCCTTGAACTCACAGAGATCTGCCTGCCACTGCGTCCTGAGTGCTGGGATTAAAGGCATGTGCCACCATCATGCCAGGACAATTTAGAGAGTATTTTATTTGAATAATTTCCTTAAGAGGAGGTTTAGAAGGTTCTAGAACTGCTTCAGTTAGCTTAATGTATACTATGTCCTATTTTATTTTCTCTTTGTTCTGTCTCTTTGTTTCTTTTTTCGTTCTGGGGATCAAATCTAGGCCTATGTGCGTTCTAGGCAATGCCTCTCCATTGAGCTACATTCCTTTAGCTGGCCTTGAACTCACTAGGTGGCTAAGAATGACTTGGAGTTCCTGATCCTCCTTCCTCTACTTGCTGAGTGCTGGAATCACAGCCTTCAGCCACTCTGTTCCCTTTTACATATTGCTGATTGAAGCCAGGGCTTCATGCATGCTCAAGCAAGTGCTCTGTGAGCTACACCTTAGCTTCTCTGTAAACTTTTATTTTAATCTTGAGAGAAATTCTCTTTTCCCCCTTTAAAAAAAATGAAAATAGAATCTTCTCTCATATGACACATCCCAACCACAGTTTCCCCTCCCTCCACTCCTCCCAGCTCCCCCACCCCAGCTCCCTTCTCCCTCAGAATCACTCCCCAGTTGTTTCCTCTTCAGAAAAGAGCAGGCCTCCAAGAGAGGACTGCTTTTGAGACTCGCTTCTTTCTATTGAGTTGCCTTGTCTATAAACTTTTCAAATGAAAAAAAAAATTATTTCGACAGTGCATTCAAGCTCTTATTCTCCCCAAATAGTGACCAACAGATTTTATCCAGTGATGCATTTGTGAATATAGAAATGAAGCATTTTCACTCAAATAATGGGCAGTGGAGTGAGAGGTGTTGGGAAAGGAGGCTGGTAATACGGAGTGTGTAGAAACCATTCCAGCTTGTGAAGGCCACTGCAGGTACTTACCAAGAAGTGCTTTGGAGCGCAGGGCCTTTGAATTAGGTCAGTGCTAGGGACAAGACATTGCTACTTCCATGTCTGTTGAGGAGAATTTAGCATGGCTTTTACCTCGCTTCACAGTTTCTCCAGACCAAAAAAGAAAGAAAGAAAGAAAAAAAAAAAAAGACAAAGGGGCGGGGGGTGGGGGTGGGGGAGAAAGTCCTGAAAAGACTGAATCCATTCACAATGCTGAAATTAATAATACAACTAAAACATTAGCACAGAAACCAAACAAACATTGGAGCGATTTTACGAGATCAAGTTGGAGTTAGGCAAAGAAGAGGAAGAGGGAAATCATCAAAGTCAGGACAAGCTCAAAGGAGTTTAATAGCCACTATCATATTGCACCTGAGTCTTAAGCACTTGGGATGCAGCTGTTCTGTTTTAAGATGCTCCTGCTCCTGGTCCAGTCGGCCGTCGATGGTGACCCGAGTGCACGTGTCCAGGCATCTGGACACTGCTAGATAATCTAGACCCCTTAGGGAGGGATGGAAGACCAGGCATCTGGAAACGCTGAGATTCAATATAATGTATCTGAGTGGAATAGCAGTGAAAAATCAGCAATATTAGAAGTCTTCTTGTATCTACTGAAATCACACTAACAGCATTTTGTACGAATTGTACATGTAAGGAAGCTGGCTTTTATGTTTATTAGTAATGAACTCTGAGTAGTAGCTTGGATGTAACATTTTAATTTTTAAAATGTTTTTTTTTATTTATTCTTTGAAAATTTCATACAATATATTTTGATCATATTTGTCCCTCCACTTCCCTAGCCCGTCTATCTGTCTATCTGTCTGTCTATCTATCTATCTATCTATCTATCTATCTATCTATCTATCTATCTATCTATCTATCTCTATTATTTATTTATTTATTTATTTATTTATTTATTTATTTATTTATTTATTTATTTATTTATTTATTTATTTATTTATTTATTTATTTATATTTTTGCTTTTTCAACACAGGGTTTCTTTGTGTAAGAGCCTGGCATCTATCTCTATTATTTATTTATTTATTTATTTATTTATTTATTTATTTATTTATTTATTTATTTATATTTTTGCTTTTTCAAGACAGGGTTTCTTTGTGTAAGAGCCTTGGCTGTCCTGGAACTCCTTCTGTAGACCAGGCTGGCCTTGAACTCACAGAGATCCACCTGCCTCTGCCTCCCAAGTGCTGGGATTAAAAAGGCGTACATCATCACCACCACTCAGCTGCCCATTTATTTTTAAAAAATGCTTAAGGGCAAGAATAGGTTTCAGGCCCCGTGGCCTGGGTGATCGGGCACCAGTATGAACAGTTATGTGGTGGAGAAATGGGAGAGAAGTTCGTGCCCTGTGGAGAGAAGCAGAACTGAGATGGATATGATGGTGGTGAAAAACAGGCCACTGTAAGTGGCCTATGTTGCCACCTGGGGTGGTGTGATATCCAACAAGGGCCATGTCTGAGTCCACAGCCCTACCCTAGCTGGGGTCTATGTTGATGTTCATGGCCCATTACCACTGAGGGCCATACAGAGATGCCCATGATCTGGGCCACCACCTGAGGCCATGTTGATGTCCAAGGGCCATGCTGCCACCAAAGCCATACCAATCTGGATGGCCTATGCTGCTACTCAGAGCTATGGTACTGTCTGGGCTGAAATGAGGCCCAGAGCCATGTCTGGGTTCATGGCCTTACTGCAGCGAGGGTCTGTGTTGATGTCTATGGCCAAAGTTACCACCAGAGGCCGTGGGAGAGCTAACCCCAGTGGCCTGGGCACTGGATAGCTGGTCCCAACCCTCAATGGCCCTGGGAGAATTGCCCGCCCCCACTACAACGGGAGAGTTGGCCCCACTACTTATCATGCACTTGGAAGAGCTGGCCCTGAAGGCCCCTGAGAGCTGGTGCTGACCCTCTCCTGAGTAGGGTAGTCCTGGTGGACATTCAGACTGACCAACTCAGCTACCACCCAGGCCCATATCCAAGGCTTTAAAGGAGTTGGCCCACCCCAACATCTTCCCCATCTGCTAGAGCTTGTGAAGGGACTGGTCCTGCAGTACCGTAGCTGCAAGATCCCCACGACTCAGGGCAAAATAGGATATCCGAGAGAGGAGTCTCAGTAAAGGTTCAGTATTGAAGGCGTACCAGAAGCCAGAGGTTTTGAACCAGACCAATAATTCACTGCAATGAACATTTGCAAGTAAGGCTGTTTGGGCAACAGGGTATATACTGTGTGCCACAGCACAGCTCCCAAGGCCACTACAACAAATGAATATGTAATAAAGAGGTGGGAAAGATGAAGGAGAAGAGAAGTTTTTTTTTAAAAAAATTATTTATTTTCTTGTGGGGGAGGCTACAATGGTGGAGGGCAGATATGGAAGGACTGGGAAATGAATGGGATTGGGGTGCATGATGTGAAATTCCCCAAGAATCAATACAAAAATTATGTTAATCATAATGAAAAAGAATAAGCTTTGCTTTATAGCTCAGGCTGACTTGGAACTCACTGAAATTGGGAATCCTCCTGCCTCAGTCTTCTGAGTGCTGGGAATAAATATGAATAAGTATGAGTCACCACATCAGGCCTTTGGAGGGTCTTTAGAATATTGTGAAACATTAAGTCTTTGGGGGAACTCATTTTATTGTTTGGTGAGTTTTATGTTTTCATCCACAAAAGAATGATTTATTGGAGCTGGAAAGTGGTAGTGCATCCCTTTAATCCAAGCATTTGGGAAGCAGAGGCCAGCCTGGTCTACAGAGGGAGTTCCAGGGTAGCCAGGAATTCACAGAGAAACCCCGTCTTGAAAACAATACAAAACAAAACAAACAAAAAAAAAAAGAAAGAAAAAAATGATTATTGACCATAAACACCTGTAATTTTACATGAAGTTCTGGAAGTTCACTGAACCCTAATCTGCCCCACACCAGAAATGAGAGATAACAACAACAACAACACTGATGTTTACTATATGCCAGGCTCATATGGGTTCTTATTTTTCACAAGCCCTCATAAAAGCTGCTGCTACTACACCTGTTTTAAAGAATACTCAAGGCACAAGAGCGTCACCAGGATCAAACAGCAGCTTAGAAATGGAAGCCACAGCCTGACTTGATAGTGTTTGATCTGCCTTCACTCAACCCATAACCCACTGA